TGCTGATGTTACTGATTTGATGTGGCTATTAAAATTTAAGTCTGAGTCCAGTATTACCCCTAGATTTCTGACCTTGTTTGAAGGTTTTAGGGAGAGAGACTGTAGGTGACAGATGACGCTCTCTCTTTGTTTCTGGGGACCAAAGACAATCATTTCAGTTTTGTCTGCGTTTAGCTGAAGGAAGTTGTTTTGCATCCACTCACTGATCTGTTGGATACAGTGAAGGAGTGAGTCCACTGGTCCATGTTCTCCTGCAGTCAGTGAGACATAGATCTGAGTGTCGTCTGCATAGTTGTGATAGGACACTTTGTTTCTGCGTATTAACTGACCTAACGGCAGCATGTAGAGATTGAACAGAAGAGGTCCCAGGATCGACCCCTGTGGGACTCCACAGGTCAGGGCCATATGATCTGAGACACAGTTTCCAATCTCCACAAAGTACTTCCTGTCTTCAAGGTAAGACCCAAACCAACTTAGGGCGGTGCCAGCGACGCCAACCCAGTCCTCTAGTCTCTGTAAGAGGATCTCATGGTCGACAGTGTCAAAGGCAGCACTCAGATCTAACAGGATTAAGATTGAGACTTTGCCTGCGTCAGTGTTCAGCCGGATATATGTTACCTTGACGACAAATCTGTGTTTAAGTAGTGCGCCCTCCACTGGACACACAAGGAAGAAAACAAGAGTCTGTGAATCTCCTGTAGTAGCGGCCGCAGACATTTCAAAACTTTTGTGTGGACCCAAATGTAACTCATGGGTACAGTTTAATATGGAGTGAGGCCAGAATTAAATAACTTTTATTGTTTTTACTGCATCTCCAATCTTTATGAGTCTTGGGCAGTTGGGTCTGTTGGTTTTATTATCATGCTCTAAGGAACTCACTTCTGAAAGATGTCTTCTCCCGGGTCTGTGGGGAGGAGCCCAGTGCATCATGGGCCATGTTTGTTTGAATGTTTTTCTGATATCCATGCACCAGATTTAAAATTTTTGGTCATGAGCTTTGGTGTTTTTCGCAAAGTCGAAGCAAATAACTTGACGGTTTGATAAGGCCAACCCCTTTTTTTCTCTTTTCTTTTCTCAACAACAATTTCTTCTCATTTTCTCTGCCTGATAGAGACAAAAGTGGAACATGTCTCCTCAGATGTATCTTTCTGCTTTCACACAGTCTGACGTAGATCCACTGCCCTGTGCCCGGTGTGTTATGGGGGTGACACACATGAAAGGAACATACACAATCTCCATGTATTTGTCTGGTGAAGTCTTGAATAAAATGTCTGTTAAAAGAGAAAACAGAAATTGCTCGAACTCTTTTATTTTTATTTTTGTTAACTTTATTGTGTCTCATTTGGCACAGTGTACAGACTTTGTAAGCGCTACGGTTAAGTGCATATACACATATATACATATATAAAGTACCCAACTGAAATGTGTCATAATAGTTACAACAAAAAAGATAATAAAAAAAAATATATAAAAAATAAATAAATAAATACAATCAAAATAAAACACCTTTTTTCAAGTTAAAAGAGCTTATTTGGAGTTGATAATATTTAGATGACATTAGATGATTTCCTATGATGCAATTATTCATTTCATTTGTATTAAGCAGTACAGTAGTGTTTTGTCTGTTTTATTTTAATCACATCTTGATGCAAAAGAGTAAACCAAATCCCCTCATGCCACAGTCAGCCTCGTTTGGCACCAGAAATGTTCTCTGCCTGGTTTTCTTCATAACTGTCTCAACCGGAGACGTCAGAGACAGATTCGCTTCACCCGGAAAATTGTTCAAAAGCTTTTACCACAGGCTAAGTTTCTGCGGCGGTCTGTACCGGGGTCATGGCTGAGAGGAGAGGCGCTTTGGATTTGATTCTGAAAATGTGGTTAGATAAATGAATTCCAATGATTTCCAATGTGTCTGATGTGATGAGATTATTAGTTGTATTTTTTGATGAAGATAGACTGTAGAAGAAAATGTTATTCTTTTTCCATCCATCCATCCATCCATTTTCTACCCTTTAATCCATTTCTGGGTCAGGGGGGTGGCAGTCAGAGATGCCACCCAAGTCTCATAGCACCAGCCCCAGTTATTCTTTTTGGGTTGCTATTTTCCGTGTGGATTTGCCTTTTCTACTGCAGGGTTTTAATCTATACAGACTTCCATCCATACATTGTCTTCCCCTTTATCCATTGCCGGGTCACAGGGACAGCAGTCTAAGCAGAGGCCCAGACTTCCCTCTCCTCACACGCGGGAATCCTGAGGCTCTGGTTTGGAAATGTGGGTCTTCATCCCAGCTGTGAAGACCCGCACTTCGCTGAAAACCGTCCCAGAACATGCTGAAGGCTCGGGTTTGGTGAAACTAACAGGAAAACATCCTCCACAAACAGCAGATGTGAAATCCCCACCGACAGGGAACGACAGTGACAAAACAGAGTGAAAGAACACACTGGGTTTAAATACACAACGACTAACACAGGTGACACACATGTGGGCGGGGCCAGGAATCAGGAAATAGGAAGTACAACTAAAGAAGATCCAGGGTTGACAAATTTCTCTAAAATGTATGAACGGTAAAAATGCATTGTTGCCTATAGACATATTTGAAAACCTTAGAATAATTCATTAATTAATTCATTAATAATTCGTGTGTGTGTGTGTGTGTGTGTGTGTGTGTGTGTGTGTGTGTGTGTGTGTGCCTTAATATTTGCATTTACATAATTTCAAATTGCATATTGCCAAATTGTATGTATATCGTATATTTATTTCAATAAAAAAGGGTTAAGCATTACAAAATAAAACAGGAAATAAATGTAAATGCACATCTTTAGTAACACATCGACCAAAAAACACTGTTGTACTTTAATTTCTGTGTAATGTAATTTCTAATTGTGTAGATGGATACATACTTTTTTGAGCAGCAAAAACAAAAATGATCATTCTAAAAAGCTAACAACAGTAATAATAACATAAGTCCTTCAGGTCACAGCAGCAGGAGGAGCTTGGTTCAGACCATTTTCTCTGCTCTGGTCCAAAGTAAAATGCTTCATTAGCATTTTTCATAAAGTTAGCATTCCTCCAGTGGATTTTCACCTGATCCACTTTCGAACCATGAATCCTCTCTGCTCTGGTCTGGACCAGTGTAAAACCATGAATCCTCTCTGCTCTGGTCTGGACCAGCGTAAAACCATGAATCCTCTCTGCTCTGGTCTGGACCAGCGTAAAACCATGAATCCTCTCTGCTCTGGTCTGGACCAGTGTAAAACCATGAATCCTCTCTGCTCTGGTCTGGACCAGTGTAAAACCATCAGGCAGAAGCACTGTATGTATGAACCATATGATACTGAGATAAACCTGATGATCGTCCGTGCAGTGACAGAACCCGACGTTTCTTCTTTCTCCGGACTCTTGTTGGTCACTGTTGCAGCCGAGTGCACCCTTCAGACACAAACACACACTTTCTCCTCTGGTATCTATAATTCATTCATCTAATATTGCTTCTACAGATTTCTTTGTGTTTCAACATCTAAGATTTGTCAAAGAAGCGGATAACATTATAACATTCTGGTCATTCCACACACGGCGTCTGTGGTGGAGTCGGCTTCTCCTGCTCTCACATCTCTCACATCTCTCACATCTCTCTTAAAGGCAGTTGTTTCAGTATCTTTATCAAAACCCTCCTTTGAGGTTTGTGCTTTTATCCGTCTGTCTACAAACACATCACTTTTCACACTCGGTTGTTTTTTTGTTGCGCAAATTGCGTTATCAAAGTTGCTGGGAGTGAAAAAGATATTTGATGCTCTTTTTTAAGTAGAAGCTTTATTTATTTATTCATTTTTAGGGAAAAAACAAGACTATGTAAATTGTACTCATACTGCGAGAGAGAGAGAGAGAGAGAGGCAAAAACACATCCATCCAAACAAATATATCAATCATTCTAAAAAGCAAACATTAATAATAAAACACAAAAGTCCTTCAGGTCACAGCAGCAGAGGTGGAGCCGCTTGGTTCAGACCATTTTCTCTGCTCTGGTCCAAAGTAAAATGCTGAATACATTAACATTTTTAGCAAATTTAGCATTCCTCCGGTGGATTTTCACCTGATCCTCTTGGTAGGGACCATGAATCCTCTTTGGTCTGGTTTGGACCAGAGTAAAACCATAAATCTTCCCTGCTCTGGTCTGGACCAGTGTAAAACCATGAACATTGTACTGCAGCAACATCTCAGGCAGAAAAATAACATTTGTAAAACACCCAGCTTAGACCTGGGCTGGTGGAGACAGAGGGTGGAGAGTCTAGACCTGGGCTGGTAGAGACAGAGGGTGGAGAGTCTAGACCTGGGCTGGTGGAGACAGAGGGTGGAGAATCTAGACCTGGGCTGGTAGAGACAGAGGGTGGAGAGTCTAGACCTGGGCTGGTGGAAATGTTGCACCCCTGAAACAGGGAGAAAAAGATCACGAGAGTGATTTACGTGTTTTCCTCATGCGTGACTTTAATGCAATGAGGATAAACAGCGGAAAGTCCCTCTTGTGGTGCGCGCAGGCATGACCAGTCGATCGAGAGTCCAAGACCTACTAGCTGATCTAACAAATAAACTATAATGCTAAAATATTAATAATCATGAAACATTTTAACATACTTTTAAAACTGTATCTATATCGTGCATTAAGGTTGTGTAAGTTATTAATTATTCTGAACTTATTATTTTTAAAATAACATTGTGAATAACCTATTACACTCTCCCCCACTTGAAAGATGTCGTCCCGACATACTACAGAAAAGCACCAAAATCCTTTCAGTCGATGTTCACTCATTAGTCCATCAATCCAAAAACAAACCGGATCACTCTCATCTGTGGGCTTTACCCATTGCTTCACCACAGTATATGACTGAAGGTCGAATCTTTTATGAGCATATGCGAATCTCCATAATAGCAGTCTTTTGTCTGTGTGTCCATGAAAGGAAAAGTAGTATGACAGTCTTTACAGTTCTAATCCGGAAGTGTCGACTTACACTTGTTGTAGTCCATACATACCGAATGGTTGTGGGTAGTATGGCTGTAGAGCTGAAAACCACGGGATCAGACCTGGATACACAGGAATCAATTGTGGCGCAGGCTGGATGGTGTAGCAGGATGGTGTTCCCAGATGGTCGTAGGTCATTCGGCTCGGCGGGTGTCTCTCTCGTTGAGGGCGCTGGGGTATCAGCTCATCGGGTCCCTCAAGCACAGCAGGCGGTGGGGGGGCCAGTGGATTAACCGCAGTCGGATCAGCCTCCTCACGAGCTGGCTCCTTAGCAAGCAGCTCCGGCACGTCCAGGGGATCTCCACCAGTGACCTCTGGTGGTATAACAGGAGCTGGTGCTGGAGACTGACCTCTCACTACAGCAGGGCCTCTTGTTTCAGCAGGATCTGATGGCTGGAGCATGGTAGGCAAAGGTGGCACATAGTAAAAGCTGCACTCCTCACTGCTGTCATCATCAGAGTCCTCAATGTCTCTAGCCGTTTTGTCCCCCTTTTTCTGTTTTACAGGATTGTCTTGTTCTGGGTCTGACTCAAAAGGTAAACAATCACATGACATAAGTAAATTTCTGTGTAGCACTCTAGAGCGTCCTTTGCCTCTCTCAGGTTTAACCTCATAGATCGGGAGGTCAGGCCCCATTTGTCTGACTACTGTATGAATAGTGTCTTCCCAAAAGTTTTTTATTTTTCCTGGGCCTCCCCTTGGAGTCAGGTTTTTGACCAGGACTCTCTCACCGGGGTGGAACACAAAACTCCTCACTCTAGCATCAAAATGTCTTTTACTTCTTTCAGCAGATTTCTTTGCATTCTCATTTGCAATGGCATAGGCCTCCTCCATCCCTCTTTTCCATCTTTCAACATAGTCTCTGTGGTCACTAAAATGGGTGTCTGAATACAGTCCAAAGAGCATATCTACTGGTAATCTGGGTGACCGCCCGAACAGTAGATAAAATGGAGAGTAACCAGTCACTTCACAGCGTGTACAGTTGTAAGAGTACATCAGCTTGTTGATAGACTCCTTCCAGTTCGACTTTTGTGTTTCAGTTAGTGTCTTCAACATTTGTAACAGTGTCCGATTCATGCGCTCAACTTGACCATTTCCCATTGGATGGTACGGTGTTGTCCTGGAGCCTGCAGTGCCACTGAGTTTCTTGAGCTGAGAGAATAACTGATTTTCAAATTCACCGCCTTGGTCATGGTGAATACGGCAAGGGAAACCAAATTTCAGGGCATAATCATTGAATATAAGATTTGCTGCGGTTTTCCCTGACTTTGAGGTTGTGGCATAAGCTTGTGCAAAGCGGGTGAAGTGGTCAACAATCACTAAAATATATTCATAACCGCCTTTGCATTTGTCAAGATGGAGAAAGTCTATACACACAAGTTCAAATGGCTGGGTTGTTACAATATTGATCATAGGAGCTTTCATATCACGGCTAGGTTTCTTCTGTTTAACACATGAGCAAACTTTGGTCACATAATGTTCAATATCTGATTGCATGTATGGCCAAAAGAAGCGGTCTCGTATAAGGGACACTGTGCGGTCTACACCTTGATGGCCCATACGGTTGTGCAATTCTTCAAGCACGGTCTTTTTAAACTTTTCTGGCAGGACAAGCTGTTTTCGGGCAGGCGTGGCTCTGTAGAGAATGCCATCCCTGTTAAGCATGAGTTTTTCCCATTCTCTGAACAGACATTTTGTTTTGGGGCTGAATGTGTTTACTATTTTGGTCAGTGGTCTTGAACCTGACTGTTTACATTGTAATACAGGACTTATAAACGGATCATTCTTTTGAGCTTCCCTTAAGTGGTCTTTCGGAATGGGTTTGAGTGATGCTATGGCTGGCTCACCTTGTGTTGTGACTGACACGGCTGCAGCTGACAATGTCCATGTGGCCAAGTGGTCATTTTGTACCTCTATGGCCTGAATAGCAGCTGAAATGGAGTTAGGAGGGAGTTCCTCTGAACAGTCTTTCATTAGTGTCTCTACATCAAGGGGCAATCTTGATAGCGCATCAGCGTCACCATTGTCTTTTCCAGGTTTGTATTTTATATCAAAGTGAAAGTCAGCGAGCTCTGCGACCCATCTCGACGTGGTTGCATTCAGTTTTGCTGTTGACAAAATGTATGTTAGCGGGTTGTTGTCGCTGAACACAGTGAATGTTGGGGCATAGTATAAATAGTCTCTAAATTTGTTTGTGATAGCCCATTTTAATGCCAAAAACTCTAGCTTCCCAGCATGGAGGTGGTAGTTATTTTCTGCTGCAGTTAGTGTGCGGGAGCCATAAGCAATAACTCGAAGTTTACCATCTTGTCTTTGATACAGCACTGCACCTAGACCTTGGTGTGAGGCGTCAGTGTGCACAATAAACGGTTGGGTGAAGTCCGGGAAACCAAGCACTGGTGGGTTGAGCAAACAGTTTATTAGTTCCTCAAGTGCACTTTGGTGTTGTTCAGTCCACTCTACTTGTTTTGTTGAAGGGACAACTTGACATGGTTTCTTTTGTTTTGTCTTTCTCCCTTTTGTCCTGTTCTCTGTGTCTTTGTCAGCTTCCAATAAGTCATAAGCTTGCTTTTCGGGAAAAGTCCTTGATGTATTGTCTGTAGTAGGACAGAAGGCCTAACATTTTTCTGAGTTGACCTACATTTAGTGGTTTGATGTCTTTGAGTGCCCTTACTGCTTCGAAGTCAGCAGGGTCAACTCTACTGCCCTCTGCTGACACTATTCTGCCTAAGTAGCGCACTTCAGCTCTAAATATGTCGCACTTACTTGGTTTAAGTTTGATACCAAAGTCCCTTAGTCTCTGGAGCACTTTTCTCACCGCCTCCACGTGTTCTTTGAATGTTTTGCTGTAGACTAAGGTGTCATCCAGGTAAGGAATACAGATGTTGTCACGGAGTCCCTCCAGGCAATCCTCCATGCAGCGTTGAAATGCTGCAGGAGCATTCATTAGTCCAAAGGGGATGCGTATCCACTCATATAGTCCCCAGGGGGTCACAAAAGCGGTGAGTGGGCGACTTTCCTCTGACATGAACCCCTGGTGATACGCTTTGCCTTGATCTAACAGTGAAAACCAAAAATTACCACCTAAACCGTCCATAATATCCTGTACACGCGGAATGGGCTGGCGGTCCGGATGAGTTTTCCTATTCAAGTCTCTGTAATCTATGCACAGTCTTAAAGTGCCATCTTTCTTCCTAACGCACACAACAGGCGAAGAATATGATGAGTTTGATTTTCGGACCCAGCCTTGTGCTATTAGGTCATGTAAGTAATTTTTCATCTCTTGGTAAAGTGGACGTGGTACTGATATATATGTCCGTCTAACAGGCTCATTGTCTTTAAGTGCAATGGTCATCTTTAAATTTTCAATGTGGCCTATGTCATTGTCAGTTTGTGAGAAAGACTCACATTCTTCTCTGAGCATTTGTTTAACTATAGCTGTCTGCTCTACACTTAAATGACTGAGATCTACAGGTGGGTCCCACTTCTCACTAGAGCCAAGTTGTGGTTGTGTGTTAGTGGTACTAACTGTAGCCACTGTGGCTTTCTCCAACATATGAGCAGGTAAGACAGTTGTAATAGTCTGAACTGTACCCACTACTGTTCGGCCTAAAAGGATAATATTATGATCTGTGGGGTTAGAGACATCTACTGTTATAACTGGTGAACTACCCCCTTTAACCTTAACCAATGTGTCAAAAAATTCAAGATTGTCTGGCCACTGAGGATTTAAATCAGGCTCAAATAGCATAGTCATGTCTTGTCTAAAAGGCTGTGAAGCCACCCGGCATTCAACTTGGATGTGACTTTGTTTAGGTACAGTTATACAGTCTTTCTTGGTTTTTACTTTAAACTCGTCTGTATCTGCACTAACAGCTTGGATGAAAGCTTTCACCTTATTTCTTCTGAGGCGGGGAAACGCTTTTCTCACTGTGCTGTAAACTTTTGCTTTTTCCGTCTTATTCAGGATATATTCAATTACATTGTAGCCTATAATGGGGTGTGACAGATAACAACCCTTCATTACCAGCATGGGGATGATCATTTTCTCAGGTGGATCAGTTCCGGCTACAAGTTGAAAAGGCGTTTCAATCCACCCGAGGTATGGCATACTGGTCCCATTGGCTGCAGTCAAGCTCAGTTCAGTTGAGTCCATAATCTCTGAGACCTCTCTCAATTTTGCCTGTGGAAAGCAGTCCTCTTTCCATCTTTCATCGATGATTGACACTTGTGATCCTGAATCCCACAGAGCTTGAAGTCTGTGGCCATCCAGGAGACACTCGACCAGACACTGTCTACCCACCAGTGATGTAATTTTGTGTGGGGAACCCATCTGAGCTTGGGGAAGTGGGATATAAACAGTCTCGTTGTCCTCATTTGATCTTAACCCAGGACATTGCTTCTTGTGTTCATACCAATGTGTTTTCTGGCAGAGTTTTGAACAATAAAGTGTCTTTTTGCATCCTGAACATTGTCTCAGAGTCTTATTTGTGTTTTCTTCTTCACAGTTGGTACATCTTTGGGACTTCTGGTGTGCGACGGTTAACACTTGTCCCTCTGTGGTAACCACTACTCGTTTAAATGCCTCCCTGAGGATGCTCTGGTACCTCTGTTTTTGCATCCAGCTTGAAAGTGTTCATCACTCCCGCAGAAGTAGCAGTGTGTGCAGTGCTCGATGGCTCTATTTTGCTGACAGGCATGACACCTCCTCTCTCTGCGGGCTGGGCGATTTGGATAGTTCTGCATTGGATACTGTGCTGGTGGTCTATACTGGGGTCCCTGGAACCTGTAGAATTGCTGCTGGGGGTCCCTGTCATACTGCATAAACGGTGGTGGGGCATATGACTGAGGGTGAGACACTGGCTGTTGTAGAGTCTCTTTAATCTGAGCTATCTCTGCACTGAGACCTTTCAGGGAGGCTACACCTGTCCTCAGCTCGGCTAACTCAGTAAATAGTTCAGGAGGTATTTTAGTTTTTACGTCTTTCACTGTGGACTTTACTTCCTCTAACTTGACTGTGCTAATATTTGTGGCTGACTGTGTGACTAAGCACCTTTTCTTATTCTTTCTCTCTGCTTCATTGGCACAAGCTATGTTTACCCTCTCCAACAGAAGCTCATCAGGGGTCTCAGAATCTAACAGGAGTGGCTGCATGTCTATCCTGACACTATCACTCTGAAGACCTGTGAGTATGGTGTGTAAGCACATACGCTGGACTAAAGCTGGGTCATATTTAAGCCCTGATTCTGACTCTTGTGACGCAAACAAGACTTTCTGCTTCAAATCTAAAACCCTCATCAGGAAGCTCTGAGCAGTCTCTTTAGGGCTCTGTACCTCTGAAGCTAACTGTTTGTAGAGTTCCGTAGCACTCTTCTCTTGAAAATGGGAGCGGAGAATGCGGCGTAGAGTGGGTAAGGTGAGCTGAGTCTTTCCCTCCAAGTAGCTGCGTAGTTGTAGACCTGGCACAATGGATTTAATGACAGCATCTACAATGTCAAGCTCTGAGTAGCCTCTGGTCAGACCATTTTCAATTTGATGAGCCAGACTCGAAAATGTCAATTTATCCTTCTGGCCCGGTTCACCTATTTGGCCTGATATTTTAAAATCTTTCTGCCAAAAGGGACCTGATTGTTGGGGACAGGATGGGCTACTTTCAGGGCGGCTACTCGAGACAATTTGGAGTTGTGCAACTCTCTCAGTTACCCCTGAAGTAGCATTTGGTTGCTCTATGTGGCCCAAACCACCACTTTCTTCTGCATTTTGTCCATTCGCGTCATTTTCGGCTTTAATTAATTCTGTAATTTTGTCATTTAACACCAACAGATCTGATGTTCCTTCATCTTCAAAAGTTTCCATTTCCTCTCTCTCAATGTACATCTGGATATGTGTTAGCAGCGACAGGCGAGTTTTAGTGCTGGCCTTTATTGTATCTGCTGTACCCATAAACTCACAGATGGACACCAATTTTTCTTTGGGCAACTTGTGCAAATTACGCACAATTTCTTCTCGCAGTTGCTCAAGCACTGACATAGTGGCAGTAGACAGTGGAAGTCTTGCAGGTACTGGTGACGTTGAGCGGTGGGGTCTTTGCGGCTCCTGATGATCTCTGAACGGTCTCAGGACGCGTAGACTGGAACACAGCTGCCAACTCTCCGTAAAAGCAACACCTTCCAAGCTGCAGTCTGCCTGGGTTGTGTGGGGGGAGTAGCCAACTTTGATTAGGTGTACAAGCTATGGACACCACACATCTAAGCAGCTATCCCAGCGGTGCCTCCAAATGTTGCACCCCTGAAACAGGGAGAAAAAGATCACGAGAGTGATTTACGTGTTTTCCTCATGCGTGACTTTAATGCAATGAGGATAAACAGCGGAAAGTCCCTCTTGTGGTGCGCGCAGGCATGACCAGTCGATCGAGAGTCCAAGACCTACTAGCTGATCTAACAAATAAACTATAATGCTAAAATATTAATAATCATGAAACATTTTAACATACTTTTAAAACTGTATCTATATCGTGCATTAAGGTTGTGTAAGTTATTAATTATTCTGAACTTATTATTTTTAAAATAACATTGTGAATAACCTATTACAGAGACAGAGGGTGGAGAGTCTAGACCTGGGCTGGTGGAGACAGAGGGTGGAGAGTCTAGACCTGGGCTGGTGGAGACAGAGGATGGAGAGTCTAGACCTGGGCTGGTGGAGACAGAGGGTGGAGAGTCTAGACCTGGGCTGGTAGAGACAGAGGGTGGAGAGTCTAGACCTGGGCTGGTGGAGACAGAGGGTGGAGAGTCTAGACCTGGGCTGGTAGAGACAGAGGGTGGAGAGTCTAGACCTGGGCTGGTAGAGACAGAGGGTGGAGAGTCTAGACCTGGGCTGGTGGAGACAGAGGGTGGAGAGTCTAGACCTGGGCTGGTGGAGACAGAGGGTGGAGAGTCTAGACCTGGGCTGGTGGAGACAGAGGGTGGAGAGTCTAGACCTGGGCTGGTAGAGACAGAGGGTGGAGAGTCTAGACCTGGGCTGGTGGAGACAGAGGGTGGAGAGTCTAGACCTGGGCTGGTAGAGACAGAGGGTGGAGAGTCTAGACCTGGGCTGGTGGAGACAGAGGGTGGAGAGTCTAGACCTGGGCTGGTGGAGACAGAGGGTGGAGAGTCTAGACCTGGGCTGGTGGAGACAGAGGGTGGAGAGTCTAGACCTGGGCTGGTGGAGAGTCTAGACCTGGGCTGGTGGAGACAGAGGGTGGAGAGTCTAGACCTGGGCTGGTGGAGACAGAGGGTGGAGAGTCTAGACCTGGGCTGGTGGAGACAGAGGGTGGAGAGTCTAGACCTGGGCTGGTAGAGACAGAGGGTGGAGAGTCTAGACCTGGGCTGGTGGAGACAGAGGGTGGAGAGTCTAGACCTGGGCTGGTAGAGACAGAGGGTGGAGAGTCTAGACCTGGGCTGGTGGAGACAGAGGGTGGAGAGTCTAGACCTGGGCTGGTGGAGACAGCGGGTGGAGAGTCTAGACCTGGGCTGGTGGAGACAGAGGGTGGAGAGTCTAGACCTGGGCTGGTGGAGACAGAGGGTGGAGAGTCTAGACCTGGGCTGGTAGAGACAGAGGGTGGAGAGCTTAGACCTGGGCTGGTGGAGACAGAGGGTGGAGAGTCTAGACCTGGGCTGGTGGAGACAGAGGGTGGAGAGTCTAGACGTGGGCTGGTGGAGACAGAGGGTGGAGAGTCTAGACCTGGGCTGGTGGAGACAGAGGGTGGAGAGTCTAGACCTGGGCTGGTGGAGACAGAGGGTGGAGAGTCTAGACCTGGGCTGGTGGAGACAGAGGGTGGAGAGTCTAGACCTGGGCTGGTGGAGACAGAGGGTAAGTAAGTAAGTAAGTAAGTTTTTATTTATATACCGCATTTTCACTGCAGATCTGAGTCTCAAAGCGGTTTACAATTGTTAATTTTGGGCATTTGTCTCTCACTCCACACAGAGATGGGAGCGGGGTCGCCAGTACAGGAGGCGCATGCCAGAACTATTGGACATATTTTTAGTGGTAGGGGAAACCGGAGTACCCGGAGGAAACCTACGCAGACACGGGGAGAACATGCAAACTCCACTCAGAAAGGCCCTGGTCCGACCGGGATTCGAACCCAGGACCTTCTTGCTGAGAGGCGAGAGTGCTATCCACTCAGCCACCGTGCCGCCCAGAGGGTGGAGAGTCTAGACCTGGGCTGGTGGAGACAGAGGGTGGAGAGTCTAGACCTGGGCTGGTAGAGACAGAGGGTGGAGAGCTTAGACCTGGGCTGGTGGAGACAGAGGGTGGAGAGTCTAGACCTGGGCTGGTAGAGACAGAGGGTGGAGAGCTTAGATATGAGCTGGTGGAGACAGAGGGTGGAGAGTCTAGACCTGGGCTGGTGGAGACAGAGGTTGGAGAGTCTAGACCTGGGCTGGTAGAGACAGAGGGTGGAGAGCTTAGACCTGGGCTGGTGGAGACAGAGGGTGGAGAGTCTAGACCTGGGCTGGTGGAGACAGAGGGTGGAGAGTCTAGACCTGGGCTGGTGGAGACAGAGGGTGGAGAGTCTAGACCTGGGCTGGTAGAGACAGAGGGTGGAGAGTCTAGACCTGGGCTGGTGGAGACAGAGGGTGGAGAGTCTAGACCTGGGCTGGTAGAGACAGAGGGTGGAGAGTCTAGACCTGGGCTGGTAGAGACAGAGGGTGGAGAGTCTAGACCTGGGCTGGTGGAGACAGAGGGTGGAGAGTCTAGACCTGGGCTGGTGGAGACAGAGGGTGGAGAGTCTAGACCTGGGCTGGTAGAGACAGAGGGTGGAGAGTCTAGACCTGGGCTGGTGGAGACAGAGGGTGGAGAGTCTAGACCTGGGCTGGTGGAGACAGAGGGTGGAGAGTCTAGACCTGGGCTGGTAGAGACAGAGGGTGGAGAGCTTAGACCTGGGCTGGTGGAGACAGAGGGTGGAGAGTCTAGACCTGGGCTGGTAGAGACAGAGGGTGGAGAGCTTAGATATGAGCTGGTGGAGACAGAGGGTGGAGAGTCTAGACCTGGGCTGGTGGAGACAGAGGTTGGAGAGTCTAGACCTGGGCTGGTGGAGACAGAGGGTGGAGAGTCTAGACCTGGGCTGGTGGAGACAGAGGGTGGAGAGCTTAGATATGGGCTGGTGGAGACAGAGGATGGAGAGTCTAGACCTGGGCTGGTGGAGACAGAGGGTGGAGAGTCTAGACCTGGGCTGGTAGAGACAGAGGGTGGAGAGCTTAGACCTGGGCTGGTGGAGACAGAGGGTGGAGAGTCTAGACCTGGGCTGGTGGAGACAGAGGGTGGAGAGTCTAGACCTGGGCTGGTGGAGACAGAGGGTGGAGAGTCTAGACCTGGGCTGGTGGAGACAGAGGGTGGAGAGTCTAGACCTGGGCTGGTAGAGACAGAGGGTGGAGAGTCTAGACCTGGGCTGGTGGAGACAGAGGGTGGAGAGTCTAGACCTGGGCTGGTGGAGACAGAGGGTGGAGAGCTTAGATATGGGCTGGTGGAGACAGAGGATGGAGAGTCTAGACCTGGGCTGGTGGAGACAGAGGGTGGAGAGTCTAGACCTGGGCTGGTAGAGACAGAGGGTGGAGAGCTTAGACCTGGGCTGGTGGAGACAGAGGGTGGAGAGTCTAGACCTGGGCTGGTGGAGACAGAGGGTGGAGAGTCTAGACCTGGGCTGGTGGAGACAGAGGGTGGAGAGTCTAGACCTGGGCTGGTAGAGACAGAGGGTGGGGAGTCTAGACCTGGGCTGGTGGAGACAGAGGGTGGAGAGTCTAGACCTGGGCTGGTGGAGACAGAGGGCGGAGAGTCTAGACCTGGGCTGGTGGAGACAGAGGGTGGAGAGTCTAGACCTGGGCTGGTGGAGACAGAGGGTGGAGAGTCTAGACCTGGGCTGGTGGAGACAGAGGGGGGAGAGTCTAGACCTGGGCTGGTGGAGACAAAGGCATGGACTAGTTTTTCTGCATGGGGGTTGAGAAAGGATTGAGCAAATGTTTTTTAGATTGAGTAATGGAGGATGGAGGTACAGCGTAGTTATGAAATCCAAATTACCGTGCAGACCTTTTACCTTTTCAGATAATTGTCCGTCACGGTGGAGATGGACAATTTTAATAAAGTCTGGGAGGGATGGGTAAAATGTATAATGTGTTGGGCATCATTGGACGGATTTTGTTGGAAAAAACAATTGGGGAGGTCAAAGGAATGAGAGATTTACTGAACAAGCAGTAACTTATAGAACTATTTTAATACACCCTGGTTATAAGCTGCTTTTTATTGTTTTTATGGTTAAAGAAAATTCTTGTCACATGAATACATTTTCTCAAAGATAGATTACTGAGACGAACGAACGAGGCATTGTTTTTAATGGAGCCTAGGAGACATTGTGAAGACCATAAAAAGTCAATTTAAAAAAAGATTGTCATAATTGTTTCCATAACAGAAAAATACAATGATTTTAAAGTAACACCATCTTGTATTCTATAGTAAACATAACACATAACAACAACACCTACAGCATGTATCTTCAGAAATACAAACAAGTACAAATAGCACCTATGATTTTGTTTTGCATGTGTCTTGACTAAACCTGGAAAGCCCATTTATTAGTCCTGATGCGACGGCCTTGCTCTTCCCAGATCATTAAAGCCATCTCATTACAGAGCTGCACTCCTGGCTGACTTGTTTGGATCCAGCCGTGGTTTAGCATTCTCCCCCTGTCCACTAATTAAAGACACAGATTGGTCCAAAAGCTTGAACTTAATTTGATAGCACTTGGTTTTGGTAAAGGGTGAATTGAAGTAGTGCACTTTCCCTGCCTCGCAATGCTCCGCCGGATTTAAGACAATTTCATAGAGACAGCTTGAGGAGATTGCAAGGATTTGTTTTGCCACGGCATCACATCCACAATGATTGCAAACATTGATCTACTCCAAACCTTGTCTCTGTTTTTAATACATAGATATAGCTTCAATATTTTAAGATTATTTTCTGATCTGCTGTAGGAGTTTGCTCTGCGCTCGATCCCAGACCCGTGTGAATGAAGCGAAACGCCTCCGGTGGAGCATGGCGGAACTACAAGGGTCTGGCGAGAGTCAGGCTAGGTTTTTGGAGTCTCTTCAAAAAGGTCTGAAGATGGAGTGGGAGGGGTTTATTTTAAATCTAGATTTAATGTGGTTTCTGTTGGAGGACAAACATTCTAAACGTTTTCCAATGCAGTAAAAATGTGCATTAGAAATAATCAAATTTCAATTGTCAACGCTAGCGGGTCTATGGCTGGAATGCACACTTCTAAATGCGAGATCTATCGTGAACAAGACGATTATTCTTCTGGACTTCACGTCGCAGTCGCTTTCACAGCCCTTTTACCCCCTGTTCAACTTTTCTCAATGTGCCAAGAACCAATGGCCACGGTGTAGCTTATCTCTTCTTCTGCTCTGTGTCTTAGCGCTGTCGTGTACAGACCATCACAAAGAGACTTCATGGAGGACATCTCTGTTTTTATGGCTCTTGTATCAACACCTTATCACAACATTTTTCTTATTGGGAATCTTGCATGTTTTTTCCCCTTCAAAACCCATGGCAAAAGTGTTTTTAGATTTGGTAAACGCTTTGAATTTAACGCAGCGTGTGAGTGGCCAGAGGCATATAAACAACCACACGTCAGACCTTGTGTTGTCTTACTGCAGCTGATAAATGTGTTGGTTGTGTTGTCTTACTGCAGCTGATAAATGTGTTGGTTGAATCTGAACTTTCTGACCACGATCCTGATCTGTTTGGTTCGCACAATGAAACGGCTGCGACTGAAGACACCTTTTCCACCCTCTCCAATGCAGCGGCAGACCTACAGTCCTTTAGAGATCTCTCCAGGGGCTCTGAGAGATTAATGGAGCCATTTATTGCAAGTTGCTGTAATTTTGGACAATGTTGCTCCGTTAAAAGCTTTTCGCCACGGCTCAGTGACGAAACCTGTGAGTGTGAGGTGGAAACTGATCATTGAGTTTATGTAGACGCTAGCAGCCAGTATTTTATCAACATTCATGGACATTGGTCAACTCCCTTTGGACCAATACCATGTGTTCTATATTCTTTTTGTTTTATTCTCAAATGCACTGGTCCATTGTGGCTTTTAAAACAGCTGCAGTTCATTCTAAACGCAGCAACTCGAGTCCTGACTAGAACCAGGAAGTACGATCACATTTTTCCAGTCCCAGGGTCCCAAAGTCAGGACTAAACATGGGGAGGCTGCATTTTAGATTCTTGCTGCTAAAATCTGGAACAATCTTCTTGAAAATATGAGACAGGCCTCTTTTCTGACAAAGGTTTTTTTATTAATGTACTGTGATTATTTATGATTATTTAATGTTTATTGAAATTATGGGGCGACAGTGGCTCAGTTGGTAGAGCGTTGGCCTTTGAGCCTGAAGGTTGTGGGTTCAAGCCTACCATGAGACCTACTTCATGACTCCCACTGAAGTGTGCCGTCGTTGTGTCCTTGGGCAAGACACTTAACCCCACTTTGCCTGAAGCCCCCACTGCAAGATCTCAGCACCTGAGAGACGGGCTGGTGCTGTGTACTGGGTTCAGCTCTGACTGCCACCCCCGACCCAGAAATGGATTAAGGGGAAGAAGATGGATGGATGGATATTGAATGCGTTGTGACTGTTTCCATCATGTTTTGTTCAGAACTTTGAGTGGCCTTGTGTATGAATTGTGCTATACCAATAAACTCCCTGCCCCGATCCAATGATAAAGATTGCACTATGTTTCTGCAGTTCCAACATATCATTAAGAGAAACATAATTTTTATCATAATCATCCAAAATTACCAACTAATTCTGGTTTTGTGTGTAAATATCTCATCGGTCTCATTAAGAAAAGATTAAACTAAGAGACAAATAATGCCTTTCACACATTAGCGCTACCAGCTAACGAGCGGCTAATGTGTGGGAAATTATGGTCTAAATGTGCGACGACGGAGCAGTGAAATCAGATGGCAGATAAATCATCTTTTTTATGTGTAATTTTCAGCTGAATTCATTAAAAGACTGCGCAGAAGGTCACGTTTTTGTTTGGCTGTTCTCCGGAGGCTGTTGTGGTTTTCCGTCTCGGGTCTTCTTCATGACAGATTTGAGCGACACTGTGGAGGTGGCTGTTGTTTTCTTCAGAATCATTCAGAATCATTTCATTTTTATTGCCACGTGAGTAACAAAGTTATCACTTGGAAATTGTCTTGGCAGAGAGCGTGCCACTTTGCCATTTGCGGCGCTGTGTGCAGCAAGAAACAGCAGAGAGCAATAACATACAGTTCACATACAATTGGATAGACACATTGTGCTTTTTATAAACCACGGATTTTTTTCTCGGGATGAGCACCTCCGGCGGCCGGCCCAATGTAGCTGTCAGAGGGGGGCGGGATCAGGGAGGGGGTGAGTAGGAAAACAATAAGGAATGGAGGGGAGGGAGGGAGCAAGATGGATAGGTAGAGGGAGGCGGGGGTGAGGGATCCTTGCTGGAGACTGAAATAGTGTGAGTTGTTGTAGATAGGGGGACCTTGTTTATGGCCTTGGTCAAGGAATGTGAGATAAGAGTGGAGAGAAGACACAGCAGGAGAAACACAAATCGCCTGAGAGGGATAGTATTATATGCAATGTAGCATCAAAAGCAGGCAGATATTCTATTAATTCCAATTAAACCGAATTACGGCACCCTCAGACCTCCGTACACAGGGGCAAATCCAAGCCGGGTCAGAGAGTTCAAGCCTGACAAACAATGTCATTCAATCTCAATTCCAGAGTTTTATGCCCATCGAGTGAACGAGCTGCGAGATCTTTGATCAACTGTTCCACCAACACCACTCTCCTTTGTCCAGCCACGGCACTCTCAACCACGACTCGGTTAAGCTCCTTGTACATCCCATCAATTTTGTCGGCCAGCAGGTCGTGAATCTTGCGAACTGCCATGCCTCCGAATTTGTGGTAGAACAGGATCGCTCCAAACCCAAACAGGAGGATTCCCACCACCAAAATGCCAAAGATATATACGTCTTCCGAATCTTCAATGGACAGGGTCGACAGACAGAGGGGCTGAAACTTGTTCCAGCTGTCAAGAGTATACCCCGCAGGTGAAGTCCCGTCCGGGCACACGGGCTCTCCAGACCCACGCTTACGTGTTGAAAAGATAGAATCAATTGCGTTGAGGGACCAATTAATCATTTCCATTCTGTTAAAGTTGTCTGTGGCAAAACTCCAGGAAAAAAGACAAAAACAGGAGATAGCAAGCCGTTCAGAAGCAGGAGCGGACTAAGACACGTCTTTGCTCGACGGAGTGTTCCCGCTCTGGGCTCTCTACGGGGCAACTTTGGCCATGGGAGAGATTCAGATTCAGATTCAGATTCATTTATTTGCCATTTGCAGTAAAACCACATAGGAAAAACTGTGCAAGACTACCCCAGTGTGCACCAGACGACACACACCAGAGCTCTTGCCACGGCGCCATCTTTACGGCGCCATGCAAATACAGGTTTTGATGTTAAAGTTGCGTTATTAACAGATGAGATAGACTGAACCTTTGTTCCTCCCGCGCACTTTAAAGCAGAATAAAAGGAGAAAAAAAGGGCATTCGTGGTACGCATACATCAAACAGAATGTATGATGGAAGGTAATGATGATTAAATAATAAACTCTGGAGCTGTCATTGCACTTGGTTCAAGAGGGTTGGTTTTGTACGAAAGTAAATGTATTATAACATAAAATTAATGTTTGTTTTTTTAATATAGGTCAGTGCTGTACACTGTTCAGAGTTCACATTTTACTGAGTTACTATATATCTTGGTGCTTTTTTATTGTTGTACATTTATGGTACGATTGAACTTAACGCAATAATAAGTAAGATTTTCAGGTCAAGTCATCGTTAAAGGGCCCTAATCTGTCATCATTAAAGGGCCCTAATCTGTCGTCATTAACGGGCCCTAATCTGTCGTCATTAAAG